AAATGAACATTTATGACTTTTCCTAAAAAAATTCCGACAAAAGTATTTACTGAATTTGACTCAAATTTTTGAATAGTTTTGGTCATGCCAAAATCACATCTTTTGTCAAATAAACTACTAAACTGAAAAATTTCACCTAGCTCTAGTCAGTACTCAGTCAGACAATCCAGGTGTCATTACCTCTGAAGTTTCACCTCCACTCAACTCTGGCTGGTCATGCCAGGGGAGTGGGAAGATACCGATGGGACACTAAAACAGAGTCTGGTTCTGATAAAAGTAGCCTGATAGACAGAGAAGAGACTCTGGGAGAAACAGAGAGGGGTTGTGGAGAAACACAAGCTGATTCTCCGATTCTGAAGTGGTGTCTGAGCTAAGCTAAAGACTAATTAACCTAGGAAGGAAAGGTTAAGTTTAGGTACAACAGAATGTGTTTGGGTTTCTATTGTTTTAACAGTTTCTCTCTGCTTGTTAAATGTCTATGAACCACTAAGTCATTCTTGTTTTTGAAGAAGTGCTGATCTGATAAAAATACATGGGCCAGGCAAGATTTTCAGAGGAGCTCAGCTCCCACCCATCGAGACACCCAAATGAAGTGGTTAGATTTTCAAATATGCTCAGCAGCCAGTAGCTCCCCTTTTAAACAATGGGAGGTACCGCATGCTGAGCAGTTTTGTAAATATGACCATTTCATTTGGGTGTCTAGAGGACAGCTGAGCTCTTCTGAAAATGTGGGCATACAGGAACAAGTTTCATGGTCATATGGTTTGGGAGTGATCAGGGCCTATTAATGCTATGTTTAGAATTATAGAAACAAAAGTATATTTATTGTTTCCACATTAAATATATCATACATTAAATTGCTGGACTAAATTATTAATATCCATTTTGTCATCATTACCCCCTGCCAAATATATTTATATTCTCTCTTTCTTTCACACACACACACACACACACACATTTTTTCATTACTGTTTTATTGTTAGTGTGGCATTTGTTTATATTTTTGCACTGCATCCTTTTAACATGAGTTCTTCTTAAGATGAATTTCACCCTAATGCAGGGGGCCAAAACTGTGACCCAGACACAAGTTAAAGGCCATGTTAAGGAAGGGCTCAAGTGATTCAGAGGGCCTTGTGTGGGCCCTCTGCACTAGGTGAATTTCACCCATTTGGAACATATCCAGCCCCTAGTATCCTGCTCAAGTAGCTAGGCTTGGCACTTGGCAGATGTATGGGGTTCTGAGAAGAAATCCTACCTCAGGTTGTGGAGCCACGAAAGGCTCAACATCAAATAGGGGTGTCTGCCCAAATCTAGCCACTCCTCCTTTCTTCAGTGTAACTTCATGGCCATAAAAGAGTAGGCTAGATTTGACCAATATTTCAAGGAGTATTTACTACATAACTGTAGAACAGGGGAACATACGCAAATTTTCATTTATGAAAATTGCTTAATGTTTTCCTGGGCCCATCAGTGGTTATCCTAGGTGTATATTTTGTTCTCTTATCATACAATGTGAACACTGCATAGTTATAAAATGTAGAAAACAACACAATAGGCATATCTGAAGATCTTGCACTGTTTTAACTCTTTTCCTCCCAATAACTATCTTCCATTACTATCTCTGACTGTTTTACTTTCTAAGTTAAATTTAGGGACAGGAGCTCATCATTTTTACTGGTGTGTTAAGTTGACACACTCACTGATAGTGTTATAGAATAATAAGAATAGCAAAACGATAGGTAAGTGGAACACACTCAAATCCTTTGCTAAATAATAATGCTATTTCTATAGGGCTCCTCTGATGGAGATTTACTTCTGCCTTACAGGCCAGATCCAAAGGTCATTCTAGCCTGTGGAAAGCCTCTCAGTGACTTTGATGGTCTTTCAATTGGGGCTTCTGTGCAGAAGTTACAGCAATACTTCACTCTGCTGCTGGGAGACAGAGTTTTGAATGTCTCGTGCCTCATTTCTTCATAGTGACTCTTCTGCCATTACAAACCAACAGGAGCCCTGTATTATGATTTCTACAGTTCTCTAGCTGAGTTTTGTGCTTTAAAAATAACATTTTTCTCCCTAAAATTTCTCAGCATTATTTGCAGTTTCCTTTGGGATGGAATTTTTGGTTTTGGCTATATTTTTTTCCCTTAAATTATGAGGCCCTTTCAGGCAGTTCTGCTTCATCTGACTTTTTTCCCAATTGCTGAACCTCTGGCCTTTCCTTCCCTTGGCCCAGCAAGCATCTTTTTTATTCTTTATCCCTTTGTGTGCCTTTTAAAGCTATTTCTGTACTTGTCTTGCAGTTGTATATTTTCAGCCAGTAAATGCTCTTTCAAGATATACCTTTGTGACTGGCAAAACAATTCCTTCCAAAGCAGTCCCCTGGAAATCAAATGTCAGCCTGATCATTTCTATAGTGGGCATAAAAATGTTGACTGACATATGGCCCAGGAAAGAAAAACCTAGAAATCAAGCTTTTGAGACTATCAACTTTGAAATTTCATTCCAATTAGCCCAATTTGTCAAGAAATTCTGATAGATATTTGAATGCCTTAGAGTGGATGGATTTTTCTAGTCTGTTTTTCACACAGTACAGGCCACTGTTATTTGTCTTTTCAAAAATGTAATGAAAGAGAATCCAAGCTTTCCCGATCGTAAGTATGCATATACATTTATCACTGCTACACTTATAGCTCAGGGAATTGTGCATCACAGTTACTTTAGAACCCTTTTTGTCCCCTTTGCGTTCACCCTCAGCTGACAAGCCTGGCTTGCTGCACCTCCCTCTGGGTGAAACCAAGTGGTACAATCCCTCTCAGACTGGATCTCTGGGTTGCAGCCCCCGTTTCCCAATCATGTTTACCCAAGAGGTCCAACTGATTTTGGCACTGGTAAGCCTTTTGCTCTGGGAGCCTGTGACAATGACTGATTAGTGACACAAAAAACAGCTTCTTTAAAACAAAGGTAGGTAGCACACAGCTCAGAAGGCTAACACAAAGAATCCCACACACATCCCCTTACCTAGATATTAATCTTTCCTCACAAGGATTTGAAAGATCCTGTCTGCTGAGCTAAGCCCTGTCTCTGGCTGGGAGAAGCAGACTGTCCTGCGTGCAGCATGCTCTCGCTGTTGTGTATCTCAGTCAATCTGTGTGTAAGCCTCAGTCTGCTGACAACCACCTCCTGCATTTTGACTGCTAGTGTGCTGTGGTTTTATACAAATATGATGATGATTTAATAGAACTAAAAATGTAACATTAAAAATAGACGTCTGAATTTGCATCACATTTAGTGGTTTCAGAAGTGAGATAACGAAAAGGTATTACCCTACTCTCAGTTTTTGAAAACACTTATTCTTTCTTACACAGTAACAATTGCAGTAGACCTTCTACGATCTTAGTCAGTATACAGTTTTAGTTAACTATGCACTACAATTTGCTTCCTCTAAGCCACCATGCCAAACATCAAAATACACTGAAACAACTGAGAACATAAGAATGGCCATAATGGGTTAGACCAAAGGTCCAGCTAGCCCAGTATCCTGTCTTCTGACAGTGACCAATGCCAGGTGCTTCAGAGGGAATGAACAGAACAGGCAATCATTGAGTGATACATCCCTTGTCACCTGTTCCCAGCTTTTGGAAAACAGAGGCTAGGGACACCATCCCTGCCCGTCTTGGCTAATAGCCATTATGGACCTATCCTCCATGAATTTATCTAGTTCTTTTTTGAACCCTGTTATAGCCTTGGCCTTCACAACATAGAATCATAGAAAATTAGGGTTGGAAGAGACCTCAGGAGGTCATCTAGTCCAAGCCCCTGCTCAAAGCAGGACCAACCCTTTGGCAAAGAGTTCCACAGGTTGACTGTATGTTGTGTGAAGAAATACTTCCTTTTGTTTGTTTTAAACCTGCTGCCTGTTAATTTCATTTGGTGACCCCTAGTTCTTGTGTTATGAGAAGGAGTAAATAACACTTCCTTATTTACTTTCTCCACACCAGTCAAGATTTTATAGACCTGTATCATATCCCCCCTTAGTCGTCTCATTTCCAAGCTAAAAAGTCCCAGTCTTATTAATCTCTCTTCATATGGAAGCTGTTCCATACCCTTAATGATTTTTGTTGCCCTTCTCTGTACCTTTTCCAATTCCAATATATCTTTTTTTGAGATGGGGCAACCACATCTGCACACAGTATTCAAGATGTGGGCGTACCATAGGTTTCTATAGAGTAGTAACAAATCTCAAAGATTCATTATTCCCCTGTAGCAACCCAACAAAATACTCAGAGTGGTATTGCCATCCCCTTTCTGTTACTCAGCCTCTTCCCCATCAGCCGTAATTTATTGTGATCCCCTAAATACATTTCATCCCAGAACACATTTATATGCTAACTTGCTAGTGGAAATATTATCTGAATCTGTTAAACAACTGAATTTTAAACACCATTTTACAGGTGAACAATTTTAAACCAGAGGTGTCAGTTGCTGAAAGAGGGTGCTCTGTTCACACCCTGAGTAAAATTTCCATATGAAGTACATTCCTTGTATTTCAAGGGGATACAAACTTTCTCTTTCACATCTGGTAAGGTCTCCAGGTCTAATCCCTCACTGCTGTAAATGTGTATATGAATAAATATTCAGTCTGGATATACAAATGTTTAAAAGCATGATTTGTTCTGCTCACTGTGGCCCAGATTCTTTGCTGTAACTAGCTTGCACTGGGCACAGCAGATAAAGGAAGACATGCCAGAGCCAATTATGGCTCTCTATCTCTCTCTCTCTGCCCTGCCCTGGGTGCAAGTTAGAGAAGCCTGGAGCTGAGCTCACTGTCACCAATGAGCAAATAATAAATTATAACTAATAAAAGTGCCACCACAATTTTAATCATCATGTCTATGCCTTCCCTTAACCAGTTCGCTTTCCCATCAGCATTTATGCTCATGTGTTCCAAAAGTGTTTGAATATTTTTGATTCTTTGCTAAATGTTCTAAAACTTTTCATACCTATGACTGGGGTGTCACCAACACGTCCAACCATTTTATTTGTGATGCCTCCAGTTGAAGTTGCACAAGCCATGTTACCTTCACAGTCTATAGCAACTGCACCCACTGTGTCATGAACCCTAAAACACAGAGAAAACAATACTGTAACTCCAAGTTGAACAGCTGCATTGCCAGAAGCACCACCACACAATAACCATTTAGCACATAAAAATAACACTTAGTACCTAAACAGAGCTTTTCATCTTCAAAGGGCTATACAAACATTAACTAATTAATCCTCACAATGTGCCTAGGAGGCAGGTAAGTAATATTAGCTCCTTTTTGTTCCCAAATGCAAAGACTATACTTGATTTGCACAAGCCAAAGACAGAGTCAGTGTCAGAGTGTAGATTATAATTTTAGGAATACCTGGAAAGCGGTCTCATACACAGTTTATTAGACCACTGGGCACAACAGAGATAGGAGGCTAGCTCCCTATTTTGCTATATGCACAATTTCAGGGGGTTTGGACTCAAAGCTATATTAACCAAATATTTATACAAAATATTTATGTAAAAAATAGGTATAAAACATATTTATAAAATTTATTTAATAAATTTAAATTTAATAAAATATAAAATGTTAATTAAAACTAATAAAAAATTAAAATATAATAAGGGGGGGGTCTCTGATAATATCAGGATAAGTTATTGCTCTTACGTACAAACATATTCATGCTTTTCTAATTAACAAGTGTTCCATGATTATTTTCCTGCCTAACTGTCAGTAGTAACTATGCTTTAGTGAGATGGATATACTACTTCATGAATTAGCACAATATCCCTCCTAACCAAATTGTCACTCACAACTACTTTCCTCTTCTATGGTGTCTTTCATAAAACGATCTCAAAGCACTTCACAAACATTAAGCCTCACAACTATACTATATGTGACATACATCAACTGTGTGTCAAGACAGGATACCTCATGTGGAGTATTGACAAGGCAGTCCTCCTTTGAGCTTTTCTGCCTGTAGTTAAGGCAAAAATGCCATCATTAACAAAGGTGAGAGCTGAATTAACTATCAAAAATTAAATGATAGCTGTCTCTCAATGTTGTCCTTTTACACTATGACAATAGACTTTCTTGGGTTTTGTTCTACTTTCTATGCTAGTTGTACACAAAAGTCAGCAATCTTTATGCATGCTCAATCCAAATTGAAATTGTTCTGTATGATACAACACTAGTAAATGTGGATTACCATTCTGGCAGTGAGGGGCTGAGAGAGATATACTATGTCAGTGGTTCCCAAACTTTTTTTTTCGCGGACCACTTGAAAATTGCTGAGGTTCGTGACGGACCACTTAATCATAGAATCATAGAATATCAGGGTTGGAAGGGACCTCAGGAGGTCATCTAGTCCAACCCCCTGCTCAAAGCAGGACCAATTCCCAGCTAAATCATCCCAGCCAGGGCTTTTTCAAGCCGGGCCTTAAAAACCTCCAAGGAAGGAGATTCCACCACCGCCCTAGGTAACGCATTCCAGTGCTTCACCACCCTCCTAGTGAAATAGTGTTTCCTAATATCCAACCTAGACCTCCCCCACTGCAACTTGAGACCATTGCTCCTTGTTCTGTCATCTGCCACCACTGAGAACAGCTGAGCTCCATCCTCTTTGGAACCCCCCTTCAGGTAGTTGAAAGCAGCTATCAAATCCCCCCTCATTCTTCTCTTCTGGAGACTAAACAATCCCAGTTCCCTCAGCCTCTCCTCATAAGTCATGTGCTCCAGCCCCCTAATCATTTTTGTTGCCCTCCGCTGGACTCTTTCCAATATTTCCACATCCTTCTTGTAGTGTGGGGCCCAAAACTGGACACAGTACTCCAGATGAGGCCTCACCAATGATCTTTACAAATGTTGTTTGTACCATTAGCTAACTATTGTAAAAAGCGCTATATTAAAAAAAAACCCTTAATAATAATTAATGGTTTTTTGTTCTACAAATAAAAGCTCACAACTCATATTTTAATATCAGTAGTCTTATCTTTGTAATGCAATGGATGTGCCCTCTCTCTCCCGCCACAGCAGCCCCCAAGCTGGGGCTCGGAAGGAGGGGGGGTCTCTCCTTGGCAGCCGCAGCCCTGGAGCTGGGGAAAATTGCCTCTTTCTCTGGCTGCCGCAGCCTTGCACGTTCCAAATTCCGCCCACCCCCTCTTTTCACCCCACTGCTCCTTCCCACCTACCTCCTATTCCCCCACAAGTCCACCACTTCACCTTACATGTGCGTCTTCTCAGGGGCCAGGCACCTAATTAGTGGAGCCACAGCTGTACAGCTCCACTAATTAGGTGGATGGCCCTTCATTCTCTCGTGTGCGGCTGCCCACACGCGCACCTTAGAGGGAACTATCCGCGGACCATCTGAATGGACCTCACGGACCACTGGTGGTCCATGGACCAGAGTTTAAAAACCTCTGTACTATATTATCATGAGATCTTCATTCTATGTTGATTTGCTACAAAACCCATAGTGAAATTTCCTAAGAAATGTGTGAAGTCTCTTGAGCAGACACCTTTTCCATAGCAAAATACATTAATCTAATTCATTTTTTAGAAAACAAAAGCATATTTAATGACTGTCCAAAGGATCAAGCTCCAGCGACATACATTAACATTGTTATTATAATGATGTGACATTTATATCCAGCACTCTCTGCAAATCAGGAGGCTGTAAAGTATCCCATCTCAGGCACTCAAAACTTGAGACACCCAAAATGACTGGTCACTTTTGAAAATTTAGACCTTAAGGTACCATCACTAAGAGCCCAATCCAATGCTCAATGAAGTTAATGGAAAGACTCCCATTGACTTCAATGCCATGAGATCAGGCCTAATACGAAGCCTATTGAAATCAATGGAAGTCTTGAGTAAGGATCTGGTGCAAGGATCTTCCTGGTGCAAGTGCTGGAGGAACCAACTAGGGGCAGAGCTCTTCCTGACCTGCTGCTTACCAACAGGGAAGAATTAGTAGGGAAAGCCAAAGTGGATGGGAACCTGGGAGGTAGTGACCCTGAGATGGTCGAGTTCAGGATCCTGACACAAGGAAGAAGGAGAGCTGCAGAATACGGACCCTGGACTTCAGAAAAGCAGACTTTGACTCTCTCAGGGAACTGATGGGCAGGATCCCCTGGGAGAATAAAATGAGGGGGAAACGAGTCCAGGAGAGCTGGCTGTATTTTAAAAACAACAAGGAGTCTGGTGGCACCTTAAAGACTAACAGATTTATTTGGGCATAAGCTTTCGTGGGTAAAAACCTCACTTCTTCGGATGCATAGAGTGAAAGTTACAGATGCAGGCATTATATACTGACACATGGAGAGCAGGGAGTTACTTCGCAAGTGGAGAACCAGTGTTGACAGGGCCAGAATCCTTATTGAGGTTGCAGGAACAAACCATACCGATGTGTAGAAAGAATAGTAAATACAGCAGGCGACCAGCTTGGCTTAACAGTGAAATCCTTGCTGATCTTAAACACAAAAAAGAAGGTTACAAGAAGTGGAAGATTGGACAAATGACTATGGAGGAGTATAAAAATATTGCTCAGGCATGCAGGAGTGAAATCAGGATGGCCAAATCACACATGGAGTTGCAGCTAGCAAGGGATGTTAAGAGTAACAAGAAGGGTTTCTACAGGTATGTTAGCAACAAGAAGAATGTCAGGGAAAGTGCAGGCCCCTTACTGAATGGGGGAGGCAACCTAGTGACAGAGGATGTGGAAAAAGCTAATGTACTCGATGCTTTTTTTGCCTCTGTCTTCACGAACAAGGTCAGCTCCCAGACTACTGCACTGGGCAACACAGTATGGGGAGGAGGTGACCAGTCCTCTGTGGAGAAAGAAGTAGTCACGTCTATTTAGAAAAGCTGGATGTGCACAAGTCCATGGGGCCAGATGCACTGCACTAAAGGAATTGGCAGATGTGATTGCAGCGCCATTGGCCATTATCTTTGAAAACTCATGGCTATCAGGGGAGGTCCTGGATGACTGGAAAAAGGCTAATGTAGTGTCCATCTTTAAAAAAGGGAAGAAGGAGGATCCAGGAAACTACAGGCCAGTCAGCCTTACCTAAGTCCCTGGAAAAATCATGGAGCAGGTCCTCAAGGAATCAATTTTGAAGCACTTTGAGGAGAGGAAAGTGATCAAGAACAGTCAACATGGATTCACCAAGGGCAAGTCATGCCTGACTAACCTAATTGCCTTCTATGATGAGATAACTGGCTCTGTGGATGAGGGGAAAGCAGTGGACATGTTATTCCTTGACTTTAGCAAAGCTTTTGATATGGTCTCCCACAGTATTCTTGCCAGCAAGTTAAAGAAGTATGGGCTGAATGAATGGATTACAAGGTGGATATAAAGCTAGCTAGATCGTCGGGCTCAATGGGTAGTGATCAATGGGTCCATGTCTAGTTGGCAGCCGGTATCAAGCGGAGTGCCCCAGAGGTCGGTCCAGGGGCCGGTTTTGTTCAATATCTTCTTTAATGATCTGGAGATGGCGGGGATTGCACCCTCAGCAAGTTTGCAGATGACACTAAACTGGGAGGAGTGGTAGATACGCTGGAGGGTAGGGACAGGATACAGAAGGATCTAGACAAATTAGAGGATTGGGCATAAGAAATGTGATGAGGTTCAACAAGGACAAGTGCAGAGTCCTGCACTTAGGTTGGAAGAATCCCATGCACTGCTACAGACTAGGGACCAAGTGGCTAGACAGCAGTTCTGCAGAAAAGGACCTAGGGGTTACAGTGGATGAGAAGCTGGATATGAGTCAACAGTGTGCCCTTGTTGCCAAGAAGGCTAACGGCATTTTGGGCTGTATAAGTAGGAGCATTGCCAGCCGATCGAGGAACATGATCATTCCCCTCTATTCACCATTGGTGAGGCCTCATCTGGAGTACTGTGTCCAGTTTTGGGCCCCACACTACAAGAAGGATGTGGAAAAATTGGAAAGCGTACAGCAGAGGGCAACAAAAATGATTAGGGGGCTGGAGCACATGACTCATGAGGAGAGGCTGAGGGAACTGGGATTATTTAGTCTGCAGAAGAGAAGAATGAGGGGGGATTTGATAGCTGGTTTCAACTACCTGA